GACTGGGGTGCTGGGCCTGAGGAGAACCCCTGCCGGAGGCTGAAAGGATTAAGAGCCAGGAGAGACTAGGGCCCCAGGAGACCCCTTTCCCTTCCTCTCTGAGGAACAGGGCCTGTGGCAGAGGTCAGTGCTGTAGAGCCATGTGACTCACTGTCGTCCTCACATCTGAGTGTCCTCGGGCCTTCCTCTCAGAGCCACTAGTATAAGGCACTTAGCCTGGTGTCCCAAAACAAGAGACAGCAGGTGCCTTGAGGGCTGATCTGGGTGCCCCATCTTGGATGGGGTCCAGAGAGGATCTCTGGGGCAAGTGGTCTCTGGAATGTCCATGCCCACAGGCAACTGGGATGAGGTGACCAAATGGCGGCCAGCTGCTCGCACTGCCAGGCAAGGCCTATGCAGGCCCCTCCCTTCTCTGGGGCTACAAAGACTTCTGTTTGGGGGTCAGCAGTGGGCCTTCGGCCATGGAGAACAGGCTGAGCCGAGCCCCAGGTGTAGGCAGCATCTCCTTTTCTGGGGAAGAGAAGAGCCTAGATCCTCTCTCCCACCCGCCCTCAGGGCCCAGAGGCCAGCAGCAACCTCCTTTCTCCTTCCCCAACAAACAAAAGCTGTCACCCCAGAAGGACCAGGAGCAGGGCAAGGAGGAAATCCTCTCCAAGAGATAGGGGAGAGCAGGGAGGGTGGGGGACGAAAGGGGCTCCCCAAAACCACCTCAGAATGGAGCTATTTACTTCCCGGTTAGGCAAGGCCCCACAAGTAGTAAGATTTATGGTGCTCCCATTGGCAAGCACAGCCTACACAGCTGGCTCTTGCCTAAGTCCTTAACTCACTTTATCTCTTTGAAGACAGGGAGAACAGTGGTCAAGAGATCAAATACAGACAGAACCGGCTGCACTGGGCTACTACTCAGCACAGGAGAGTTGTGTGGCCCTGGGCAAGTTTCTCAATTCCTCCGAACTGAAGTTTCCTCATCTCCTGCGTGTGACCCCAAGCCCCACAGTATTAATCACACTGTCCCCTGGGGCCACCTTCACTGCTTGACCCTGGCAGGGAGGAGCCAGGGGATCAAAGGGGTGGTATATTTTTCAGACCAGGGAATATGATCCCAGGCTGAAGTCCCCTGGCCTAGGACAGGCCTGGAAGACTCAGAGTCCTGTGCAAGCCTGAGCCGCCCCCCCCCCCCCAGACCTTTAAACCAAGGTGGAGTGGGAGCCCTGAGTTAGAAGCAGTACCCGGAGAGTTCAAAGTCTGAGGCCTGCTGGTTCTGTGCTCCCTCCACAGGTAACCGGTGCTTTTCCCAGGTTGGCCAGAGGGAGCCTCTTGGCTGTGCCAGCAGAATAAGTTCATGGGTGAAGCAGAAAGGAAGTAGAGCCGAAGTTGCCTAAGCTGGGAGATGGAGGAGGAAGTGTCTATTGGCTTCAGGGTTTCCATTTGGGGTGACAAAGTTTGGGAGCCCTGGCAGCGGGGGCCATGTAGGAGTATCCTCCATGCTACTGAAGTGTTCTTTAAAATGGTTCGTTTCATGTCATGTAAATTCACTGTAATTAAAAACGAGGGTAGCTGGGTGCACTTTCCCTTCCTCCCGCGTGGTGCAGGGGCTGCCATGTTGAGGTACCCGTCACTGACTTCACCCAGGGCTCTGTGGACACCTCAGATGAGAGGCGCGGGCCCAGTGTCTGGGCCCATTACTGGCCCATTGCCCGTGCCCTGGGGGTGGCAGTTTCTGTCTGTGTGTTGGGGTAACCCAAGAAGGAAAGCATCATGGATGTCTACAGAAACGCTGGCCCCATGAAAGATTTTGAGGAAATGAGGAAGGCCGGGATCTTTGAGACAGTAATGTGATCTTGGAACTCGGGATTTCTTTGGGTTGACTTCCATGGAGGTTTGTCACCGATCTGTGTTCCTGAACTGTGAAACGTGAACGTCTGGACTAAGGAACAGTTCCACCAGGAATTAACAATTACCAAGTGAAAAATAAGGGTCCCTGTAAGTGAGCCAAAAGGAAGAAACTAGGGTAGGCGAGGAAGGGGGTGGGGGGTGGGTGAGACTTCCTAGGCCACAGGGGAGGGTGGCCTGGAGGTGGCTGCTGGCTGAGAAAGCAGAGTCGGGGGAGTCACTCTGCTTTAGAGGAAGACAGCAGGAGAGAGAGCCCAGGGTCTGGGGGGGTGGGGGGGGCTGCCGGCTTCTCAGTCTCAGTCATCAGATGGGAAGCTCCTGGGGGTGGGGGCAGGGACCTCATCTTTTTACCTGTTTATGATTTCCCCGAGCAGAGCATCACTGCAGGTAGATGGTTCTTTTTAAAACCCTGGCATCGATGGAATGAAATCGAACATGTTAAGCACTTGGGAGATTTGCCCACCACCCACACCGGGAAAGTGAGGATGGCACTGTGCTGGGTATATGCCACCTCCAGGCTGCAGGGAGGCTGCCCAGACCTCACAGGGCCTGCATGTCACCCCTGGAAAGCCCCAGAGACCCCAGAGGGCAGTGCCCACAGGATCTGGGTGGGGAGGGATTGGGTGAGCACCATGAGCTCCTTTGTCAGACCCAGGAAAGAGAGTGGGGGCAGCAACAGGAAGTATGGGGTGAGGCGATCCCTCCGGAATCTATCACCCCACTTCCCTCCCCTCCCTCTTGCCCAGCTCCTGCACATGCTCAGTGTACCCATGAATTAGGTTGGTTGGGGGAGGGCATTGACTGGCACCCCCACTTAAAGGGCCAGTGCTATCCTCGCCTGCACCCAGCAGGGGCCATGAGACCTCTCTGCCCTCATCCCTGACACTGAATTACTTCACCTCAGGTCCCCTTTGTCCACGTCCTGGCAGCTTTCTCTGGACACAGGGCCTTCTGGCTCTATCCATTGGACACAGGACCTTCTGTGTGGGGTGGGGGAACCCCAGCAGGGTGCATAGGGGTGGTGTGTAGCCTCAGCTATCACTCCTGTGAAATATCTGCTTCTCTCCCTCCCTCCCCGGCCCAGGTAGCCAAGGTCATGCTGAACCTTTGCTCTGGGAGAAGAGGGGAGTAGTCCCAGCCCAGAGTATGGTACGGGGTGGGGGGGATCAGAGCGGTCTGTAAACCAGAGCTCTCTCACTGCAGAGAGGGAAGGCCAGGCCTCAAGGACAGGCAGCCTCAGAGTAAGGGTGGGCAGCAGGGCCAAGCCAGGCCGGCTACTTGTAGCTGAGCTGCCTCTCAGGTCCTGAGTCCCAGATACCCCAGCTGCTTGGTACCCAGGGCTTGGGGTGCTCAAATCCAGGCCTCAGATGGGGGAGGGGTGACACTGAGTCCTCTTCACTGATCCCTCCGTCTCTGCTGACACTTTCTCAGCCCAGTGATTCTCCCTTGTTTTTTTGTCCCATCCTGTCCCCTACCAGGACTGGGAAAACTAGCCGTCCTCTGCGGCCCTGGCTGCGAGCCCTGCAGCCCGCGTGTGTGCGTGTGTGCGTGTGTGTGTGTGGTATGTTGTGTGCGTCTGTGTGTGTGTGGTGTGTGCGTCTGTGTTGGGGGTGGGGAGGGCCAGCTGGCACCGTTCCTGCCTCCACTGCCACAGCTCCAGCGCGCCACGAAGGGCTACAGGGCTACGTTCCTCACCTGTCCCCTCCCCTATGCAGATCTGGCCTACACAGGGACAGGCTGGCCGAGGCCGCCTCCCTTCAGACACACCTCTCAGCACCCCTCCCTCCGCACCACACCCACACCCCCCCACTGGCCAGCAGCCCTCCTCTGGAATCTACTCACCCTTCCTCCTTACACACACACACACACACACACACACACATGCACACGCACACGCCTGCCTCCAGGGTAAACACCCCTTGGCTTCCTGGGCCCCCCCTTTCCCTCAGGGCTTCTTGTTGAGGAATGCAGCAGCTGGGAGACTGCCTGTCCCAGGCCGAGGGCCTTTGGGTCCCAGGCTAGCACCCCACAGGGAAAGCAGAAGCAGCAGGCCCTGGGCCAGCTTTCCTGGAATCAGGAAAACAACTTCCCCGCAGAGCCTTGGGCTGCCCATCTGCAAAGTGGGGCAGATCATTGCCAGACAGCTACTGGAGATCAAAAGAAGGGGACTAAATCCCTCAGCCAGGGACAGATGTCCAGGAACTGGACTTTGCTTTCTCTTGGAACCCACTCCTTCCTAGAATTTCACCTTGCTGGGTTGTAGGCTTCTAGAAAGCACTGACAAGTCCTGGGTGTGGCAAGGCAGAAATGAGCACCGTCCTGGCAACACATAGGGCTTGTCAACATTTCCATCCCAGCAGCTCCCAGGCCTGAGCTCTTCTCTTGCCCAATGTGGCCTGTCAAGATGAGCCTTCCTGGAAGAGGCCAGGTTGAGCCGGCCAGGCCTCCACCCCTCCCCTGGCAGGGGCAGAGCCAGTACTCGGTTGAATAACACACCCCCAGCCCACCCCCAGCCTGACCCCACCGCAGGCAGTCCCAGCGCTGTCAGAGGGCGATGGGAGGCGGCCAGAGTGTGCAGCAGAGGGGCTGAGTGTGACGGCCTTGCGAGCTCCCCTCTGGACCCATACTGCTGGCACGTCATCCGAGGCAGCTGCATTCCTCATTATCCGGGTTCCTGAGCTCCCGATACAGAGCGAGGGGCTCACTTGCTTCAAAGGGAATTAGCCACACGCTTAAGCAAAGGGCACCAGGAAAGACGAGCCTTACCGAGGACCCATGTGTTGCTGCCTCTGCCACTTGGGCTTATTTCGATCAGGAGAAAACGTCCTCGAGGTGCCCTTCCAAGTGGTGACCAGTGACGTTCTGGGTAGCCCTTGGAAGGGAAGTGTGGGTGCAGGGGACTGTTAAGGGCAAAGGGACACAAAGCATCCTGCCCCATCTAGCTGGGCCCTCTACACGCTAGGGAGGATACAGAGAACTGGGGGGCGGGGGGGGATCTCTGCAGGCACCCCTGGACTTGGGTCTTCTCCAAGAGACCCAGCCCTCTGACCCCCAGGGGAAGTTGCCAGCTCTTCAGTGCTCTGGCATCTTGGCCACTTTCAGCTGAACTCCATTGCTCCTGAGTGAGCTCCTCCCCACCTTCCAGCCCCTTCTCTCCAATCTTCAGCCCAGTCAGACCACCCCCGGAGCAGGATTCTGGCATCCTGGAGACCTGGATAGGGACCCCGACGCAGGGGTCTGCTGTACTCCCAGGCTTCAAGGGCCTGGGGTGCCATGTCCCAGGCCTCTCTGGGGTGAATGTGCTTTGATTCTCAGAGCAGTCCTCACGAAATCAATCCTAGCCACTCCCATTTGATCTCACCAAAAAGATTTAATTTCTTTGTGGAAAAATAAGATGACAATTGTGGAACATGACAAGGTGTTTCAGCTGTTCCCAGGGGGTGTGGGGGTGCTCAGTGATGCTCATCTGCCTCCTTGAGACCCAGCTGGCCTGAGTGTGTTTGAAATGGCGCCTTCTCCTTGGGTCTTCCAGGCTGGGGCCCCTAGGTGCCGGGCTCCCCACACTGGCGGCTGCCCTCTCGGCTCCACAGCTGGTTCTCTTGCCGGAGCCGCTGGTTCTCTGTCCGCAGCCTCTCCACCTCGGCAGCCAGCTCCTCCACCTGGCGACAGGGCTGCCGGCCGGCGCGGCCCTGAACCTGCCGCAGCCTGCGGGTCTCCTCCTCGGCCTGGAACAGCCGCCTCTCCAGATCCAGGTAGTCTTGCACCAGCTCCTGCTTGCTGCGGCCCTGCAGGCTCTCAGTGTGGTAGCGCTCGTAGGCCTCGGAGAAATCCCTCTGCTGGAACTCACCGTGGGCCTGGCCAGGCCCGTCGCTGTCCCCCCCCTCACTCTCCCCGCTGGAGCCTGGGTGGGAGGCACCCTGAGGCACATCCAGGTTGGGCTCCTCCGGGTCCCGGTCATTCATCAAGAATTGGGTGGTGTTGTAGGGCGCCACGGGCTGGCCTTTGGCGAACATCTCCTCGCGGACCCGGGAGGCCCGCTGGCTCTGCCTCTCGTCCCGCTGTTGCTTCTCGGCCCAGCTCAGCTCCAGATAGGGCCTCCAGTGGCGCTTGCGCTTGGAGGGCAGCCGGCGATGCTTCTTCCGGCCCAGCACGGCCTCCACGGAGCAGCTCTCCGAGCTCTGGGTCCTGGGACCCCGACTGTCCCAGCCCTGGGCCCCCTGGGCCCCAGTAGGATCTTCCTCCTCTGAGTGGTTCTCCATCCTGGGTGTCAGGGGCAGGGAACTGCATGGCTCATGAGGCTCGGGGGGTGTTTCGGGGCTCCGAGGAGCCCCAGGGGGCTAAGGAGACAAGGAAGACTGGATCACGGAAAGCCTGTCCCTGGTGGTAGAACCTTCCCTGCCCAGAGCCTGAAGCCAACCTTCCCACACCCACCAGCTGGGTCAGGCTCTAGCCTCCCGCGCTCCCGCAGACGCTCATTCACCGCCTACTGTCTGTTCCTGGAGCTCCTCCCCAGCCCCCAAGCCAACAGAATCCTGCCTTTGTACTGCACTGTCACTGCAAAGCCTGAACAGTAGCCGTCACAGAGTGGGCCCTGAAGACTGAATGAATCAAGTGGGAGAACACCCGGATGGCCGAGGCCCCTGATGCATCTGCTGAATCACTAGCCCTTCCCCCTTCCTAGAAAGCCTGGCTCAGCCAGAGTTGGTTTCACGGACAAGCGACCTGTGCCTGTGCGGTCACACAGACCCCACCTTCAGAAAGGCCCACGGCTCCCGTCAATCATGAACTTCTTTAGAACTTTTAACAAAGAGCCCTTTGCACTGAGCCTCACAAATTAGATAGCCCATGCTGCTTCCAGCTATTTCCACAGCTAACTTTTTCATCCTTAGTTCCAATGTCACCTCTTCAGAGAGGCCTACCCTGACCACCCTACCTAAAGCCACCCCCTCCCACCTCCCCCTCTTTCCCCTCCTAGAGGCTCCCTATCTCATGACTCAATGTCCAGAACAGCATTTAGTACGTTATCATTCACCATCTGTCTCCCTCCTGGGACAGTGTGTCAGGTCTCTTCAGTTCACCCGTGTCTCATATGGGCCAAGGTAAGTGCTCAATAAATATGTGTAAAACGACAGAAAGCCCACGACAGAGGAGGATCCAAAAAAAATACTGAAATAAAGACTGCCCTATCTGTCATTCCAAGATAAAGAAGATTCCAGGCAGAAGCTTGTATCATTCTTCTACATGAGTGATAATTTGCTAATTCTCCCTAATTAGGAAAGAGGTCCTAATTAGGGAAAGGCAAGGTCAGCTTCCAGTCTGTAGTCGGAAGAATTCTAGAACTCATCTAAGAGGTGGAAAGGATTCTGTCAAAAGAGTGTGTGTTTGGGGCATCTGTTTATCTATGTTGTGGGGAGGGTGGGGTACTGAGTGTGGGGATGAGGAATGAGTTGCTCTAAGTTTGTGGTTTGGGGAATTCTAATTATAACCACTCCCATTGATATGTAGGTTTATAATGTATAACATGGTTCAGAGCTATATGAGCCCAGTCTACATGTGCATGGAGGTGTCCTGGGGGCTATATGCAACCCTGTGCCAGCTGGAGTGTGCTTTGTGTGTTTTGGAGACTTGGAAGTTCTCTTCAAAATTTGGGAAGGGAAGTGATGGAGAGAGAGAGAGAGAGAGAGAGAGTGTGTGTTATTGTATTGTTACTTCACTTGATCATTAATCAAGAGTGACAGCCTTTGGGCCTCCCTGGTGGTGCAAGGGGTTAAGTCTCAGCACTATGAAGCTGTCCGCAGCCACTAAGCAGGAGTTCCCAGTTCCATCCCCAGCCACAGAGCTACCCACATGATGCGGAAGACCTCTCCTGTCTCCCCAGTGCTTCTCTCAGCAGTGTATTTCAGTCAATCCACCTGTTCTGCTCCCTGCTGTTCTGCTCCCCGCTCTGTCTCTGGTGAATCCTCTCACCCCCTGCACCCCTGGCCTCTACCCCAGTTCTTGTGTGCATAAATAAATAAATCTTAAAAAAAAAAAAAAAGAATTATAGGTTGGTCTCTAGCAGTGACTTGGGCAAACTGAGACAGAGCTTCTGGCTGCCCAGAAGAGGCAAAGCCTCCTGAAACCCCAAGGCAGGGTGGTTTGTTTGTGTGTACACAACCATTCACCTGCTTGCAGGCCTCCACAAATGTCCCCTCCTGCTCTTTCCCCCTGACCAAGCCAAAACTGTCCCCTTCGTCTGACATGGGGCCTCCTCCTGAAGGCCTGTCCCTCACCGCGATTACTACTGCCGCAGATAAGCTGTGTGAGCTGGGTGAGTCATCTGCACTTGCTGAACCTTCCAGTCCTGAAATGCTGTGAACTCCAAACATCATGAATCCAGGAAGCACCTGAAGTGGCTAGGTAAGGTGAGCAGAGGAGCCGAGTTCCCTTCTCACCTACTCACCTACGGGGAGCTGTAGACTAGAGAAGGGCAGGGTGGAGTTGAGCACACAGGCTGGAAGGGTTTGGGTTCAGTCACTGAGCGCCTGCCTCACTCACCTCTCCCCTCTCTTTGGGTGACAGACTCTTCCCCACCCCATTCCAAATTTTGAACCAAACTCGTCTCCCTGTTTCAGACTTGGTTCTCAGCTTGGACAAAGGGCAAATATTCAACCAAGTTCTTCAAGACAGGCTTCTGCTGTCAGAAGACCCTAAGTTTAAATGTGGGTTTGTTCCTTGCCAGCAGCATGATTCTAGAAAAGGCACGGCAACTTTCAAAACCCTGGTGTCTTCGACGTGGATATAATAATTCTTGCCTTGAAGGCTAAATCCTAAGATTCAGCACAGATTCCGCATCTGGCACATTGCCAGATACATAGTAGGAGCTGGTTTAAAGTACGGTTTCCCAAATCCACCAACACCAACACATCTGAGACACGTAAGGATCCCAGCTGGCAGGAGCCGAGCTCAGGGCACTCGGGTGGCTGGGAGAATGGGGCTTACCTTGGCCTCCTCCAGGGCTGCTGGTGACTCTGTATTACAGTTGGTCAAGTTCGGAGTGGCCACCTTCTTCTGTTCCAAATCTTTCAGCAGATGCCTTTAACTAGTGACACCTGCTTGAAATAACAACAGAAACCTAAGTCCTGAAGGGGAATTCTCAGGCAAGCTCTGGCTGCCTAGGGCTTTTGGTTGGTTGGGGTTTTTTCTGTTTGTTTTTTTTTGGCAGCCATTTTGTAGCACCAGACCTGCACACCCTCATTTTCAAATGGAAGCCCAGAAGGTTGTCTCCACACCCTCTGATGTTCACACCTCCAGCCAGCAAGGGGCCAAAAGGGGATTAAGGGATCATCTTCCCAATCCTGTTCCTCCAGCCCCAGGCCAGGGCTTATACCCTAAAGTGTTCTGAACCTCACTGAGACCCAGCCTGGCAGCTGGGAAGGGAGGCCTAAGCTTTGTTCACCCAACTACCAAAAGAAGAGAGACTGCCTGGGGAGACCACAGCAAGCATTAGGGGACCCTTGAGGAGACCAGGGAGTGGCCAGTGACCCCCCCCCCAACCCCCCTCGGCAAGAAAATATGTAGCAGGCTTGGGAGGGGTCCTTTCCCCGCTGCTTTCAGAAGCTCCAGCCTTGACCACTGCCCCCTCCCAGGCTGGGCTCCAGAAAACAATGCCTCGAGAAACACGACCGTGGCTCTCTCATCTACGGGGCCTGGCTTGTCTCCCTCCTTCCTCTCAGGACGGGAAACCTGAGGAAAGAAGGGAGAAGTCTTCACACTACATGCAGCTGTGAGGAAAACCCAACTGGGATAAGGATGGATTCCTTGGACGAGGGGAAATGGTCCGGGAAGGAGGTTTTGCAAAAGCGGAACTGACCTATTTGCTGTCAAGGGCTATACACACCACTAGATCTGTGTGTCTTTCTGAGCCACCGCTCGTCTGTGCAATTCCCAACGCCTCAGCCCTACCTCTTGCTGCAGTTGCAGCAGCTCTGGTCAAGTCGCTCAGGCACTGAGGTTGGGGGGAGGGCCAGCCCGGCAGCGCGATGCCTGTTGGGGGTTGTAGTTCTTCTAGCCTGAAAAGCCGGCCCAAGAGCCTGTCACGTCAACGGCGACCCGGGAACTCCAAAGCCCATCCACCCTTGCGTCCCGCGTCCACCGAGGCCTTCTTGGATTGGTCAATCCGTCTGCCAGTATTTCTACTTTCATCAATGATTAGCTGTGCGGAAGCACAATCGGCCCCGCCTCCACAGCTCAATTAAAAGAGTTCATTGATGGCGTTAGTCTTCACAGGGCACAAAATAGATCCGGCCGAGGGGGGAGGGGCCTGGGCGCGGAGGGATCCTCGGTCTTAGAGGAAGGCGACAAGAAGATCGGTGGCCGCCGCCGCCATTTTGGGCTGGGAGGAGGCAGCGGAGGGACTCGCTGCGCAGTGAGAGCACCCCATGGGGGGTGGTCCGGGCGTGGGGAGAGACCGGGCCGAGTGGGCTGCCTGAAGTGGCGGCGCCGGGAGACGGCGGGGAGTGGGATGGGGGACGGGGCGGGCGAAGGTTGGCGCCTCCCCGGCCGGGCCCGGTCTTCAAACCGTCCCGGCTGCCCCGCAACCTCGCCTTTACAGAGGGTGGGGTCCTACGGTGATTACCGCGTGTTTTCTGAGACCCCCCAATTGGGGAAGAGAACGGGGAAACGACACCCCTGTGCCGTCCTTTCACTGGGAACTCAAGTCCTGAGGCCCAGCCCCGCCAAGTTCTTCCTACCCCCCCACCCCCATTCGACCTGGGTATGGCGGCGAGACCCAGCGTAGCGGGACCCCCAACTTAGGCAGGCGAGGTGGGGGCGACGCCGAGTCCCAAATGGCGTCGCGGGGGAGGGTGGAGGTTTGCAGGTCGCAGCTCTGGCCGCGCGTCCCTCTGGCGTGGCAGTCCGCGGGCGACTCCGAAGGCGGAGACCCGTCCACCCTCCTTCTCCCCCTACACCGGCCATCAGCGACCCGGGCTGCAGAAAGCAACAGCCTCGTCCTACCTTAGCAACCGTTAAGCACCCCCGGGACCAGCGAGGTGGGGCTGGTGGAGACCTACCTTCCCGAGCCCAGTGCTTGGAAACCTGAGCGCTCTTGCCCTCAAGATTGCTCCTTTCAGCCCTGATTTCTCAGAACGACCTGACCTCACCAAAAGAGCGTTCGCCAGAGACAGGGGTTCTGCCCTTCACAGGCTTGGGGCACAAAATCACTAAAAAGACGCCACGGCTCTGAGAATAAAAGTGGAATACCCGGTTTGGGATGCTTCAGAAACATCTGTTTGCATTTTGAAATCTGAGCCATAATTCTTACCAAAACTTTTGGAGAAATGGCTGCCCTCGGAGAGGAAAAACAAACTAATTCCAGTGTAATCGTTGTAAGACTACAGATTCTTTCCATTTTAAAGAGCTTTTCTCCCCTGAATCAAAACAAAAACAAACCCATAACTGGGAGTATTGTCACCAGTGCATTCTTACTAAGAAACCTCTATTTTGAAATTCCAAGGAGTTGAAAATCACTTCTCTCCATCCTAGATCCTACCAAAATAGAACTTGCAGCTCTCAGCTACCTTATATATGGGGTGTTTGGGAAGAGGGGCGGCGGAAGGTATTTTTAAAAAAATAATAAACATTCAACATTGTACTACGTAAAGCTGCAGCAGCTTCTTAAAGATTGAAACTTGATGTGAAGTTACTTTCTTGACTTGCTGATTAAACCATCTTGTTAACCTCCCCACTACTGAAAATCTAAATTCAGAGGTCTTTATAGCTCAGGGATAGCTTAATATTGTTGCTAAAATGTCACTAAAATTATGTGTAGGCAGACACAAATAGAAGTGTCCAAATCTTGCTTATCTTTGAGGGTACCTTGTGATGAGCGCGCTGCCAGTTACAGTAGTTAAATCATTCCAAAGCCTTTAGCCTTAATAATGAGAATTTTAAAAGATTATGCAGGATTGAACCTGGCTTCTGTTATTATTTAAGTTGTAATAATTGACAGCTCCTTAACGTTATTGCTCCTGCCTTCCCCCCTCAGGTGTTCTCAGAGGGTCTACTGGATTGTAAAAATGTGATCACCAATGACTTGTTCTTAATCCAAAATTTGAACTACTCGTAAATGAAGCTTCAGTTCCCTTTATTCTGTTCCCTTTATTTATACTGCATATTGACTTTGAGTTTACATCATGTTCATTTTGATATTCTTTGATCCAAAAGAACATGTAAGTTAGTAAAAAGCTGATGTTAACTTGGTAGGAGTTAACAGTCACGGGAGCCACAGGGGCTTTAAAGATTATCTTTGTGGTTCTGTCAAGTTCATGGAGGAAGGCCCCAGACTCTTGGGATTCATCCTCCATCTTGAAGTAATCTAGTTAACATCTTTGGGTGCTACTAAGAGAATACTGTACTCCACAGATCAGACGTTTACTAATTTATAAAAATGGGAGTTTACCATCTTGAAGGTTGACCATTCTTTGATAACAAAAGGTGGGATGAAATCATTTTATTATGGTCTCTTGGTTATCTACTGAGCGGGACCAGAAGTTGGGAACTACAAGTTCTCCTCCTGTTTGTGCTCCCAGGGATTTGATTGCCTTGGCCAGAGGCCAAATCCTGAAGAGTGGCCAAACTGGTCATTTTGTTGCTCAGTGTATTGTTCATCTACTGTTCAACCAGACCTTCAACTTCCTCTTCAGCTCCCCCCTTTCTGATGAGTAGCTTTGTGGTTTATGACAAATTCTACAAGCCCACATACGTGCCTCAGTTTCCTAACTTGAAATGGTATTTGTGCTGCTTCCCTCATAAATATCTTGAGGACTAACTGCTGTGCCTTAGTTTTGTAAATATTTATACCTCCATTATTCGGGAACTTTAGAACATAAGCTTCAAAGGTTGCTTGGGCCAGCTGGGAGGCCTACCTTACCAAATGGCTCAACCAGGGTCAGTTTTTGGGATGGAGCAGTAGGAACCACAGCTTCATTTTTCTTTTTTCGTTTTAAGTTGTTCAAGTATCTGCTGTTACGAAATATTCTTTTAATAATAACTAGAGAGGAAACTAGAATTAACCTCTTACCTCCTACCCTTCAGGCAAGGGACTTTTACCCTTGCCTGAAAGTTGTACCAGGAACTCTGAATATGCAGAATTACATTGAAGGCAGGCTTCAGGCATCAGTCTCCTTCTGTGACCCCCAGAGGTGAGGACAAGTTCTGCTGAGTAGCCTACAAAAGAAGTGATGCTGTCATAATCTCAACTTCTTGTGTATGAGCACTGAAGCACCCAGATTTGCCTTCAGGAATAGTATTTGGCTCACCATAGACCCAGGGTTTTACAATACTTCTCACAAAAAGTCAGTGGGTATGTCCAGTAGAATATGACTTCAGATAATACTCACTTTAGAATTTTTGCACTTAAAAAAAAGTCAGGGCCCTCCCTGGTGACTCAGTGGGTTAAACACAGCACTAGGAAACTATCTGCAGCCACTGCAGCACAAGTTTGATCCCCAGACAGGGAGGTGACCCATGTGGCACAGCAGACCTCTCCTGACTCGCCCGCTGCTCCCCTCAACAGTGTGCTTCGTCATTCTGCCTGTTCTGCTCCTCAATCTGAGTCTGGTGAAGTCTCTCACCGCCCCTGCACCTCTGGCCTGTACCCCAGTTCTGTATGCATAAACAAATAAATCTTTAAAAACAAAAAAGTCAGATACAGCTGTTGTGGGTATTATATTGAGAGGAACACCACAATAGCTGTTTCAAAGATTAATCAAGTGTCCGGTCGCAGTGCAACCCTTGCAATGTGGTGGGTGTGCAGAGGGTTAATAATAAACTATTGGATTCTTGCTGTTGCCCATGTCATTACATCTGTTGTCATCATTGAACCATCTGAGAAACCCAGGAAGAAATTTATTTAGAGGGATTGTGAGCGCTAAATTAGTGATCATTCTAAACCCAGCCTTTATTTTCTTTCCAACAGAAATAGAGTGAGCTTGTAACCTTGTCAGTACTCAAAACTGGCAAAATTTGACCACAGATTGAATCTTTGTCCCCGAGATTGTATTTTTTATCCCAGTTGTCAAGTATGACCATTACCATTCCCTTTTGGTCAGCAGATCCCACTATGTTCAGGGCCTGAGTTTTCTTTTTTGTAGATCACTATTGTGATCTGTACTGTATTGCATCATTCAAATGTATATTCAATGATGTTATTCATTTCTAGCATCAACCATTTACACATTAGATGAGGAAAATAATAGAGTTTTACTCCAGTGATCTTGTCAAATGTGAAAAATAAAGCCCCACAAACTCAAGTGTACTTAGTACAGGTCACTACCTTAACTGTCCCAACTTTTCCATCACACTGTTGTGAATATTTGTTGTCAGCTGTTGAGTCGTGAGTGGCCAGGAGAACACCTGTGGTGCATTACCTGGTGCTTGACTAAATATAGCCAGCCACTGTATTTCCTTTTTCTAAAAGATTTATTTATGCATACAAGAACTGGGATACAGGCTAGAAATGCAGGGGTGAAAGACGCCAGAGACATTGGGGAGCAGAACAGGCAGGTCTACTGAGAGAACACTGCTGAGGGGAGTAGCAGGTGACAGGAGGTCTGCTGTGCCATGTGGGTCACCTCCCTGGCTGGGGATAGAACCTGTGCTGCCGTAGCTGTGATAGCTTCTTAATGCTGTGCTTTAACCCTTTGTGCCACCAGGGAGGGCCTGAGCCATTATTTTTCTGAAAGTAGACTATGCAGTGATGGATGTTTTTTTTCTTTTCTATGGGTTCCCACTGATTTAATTTCTTAAGTTACTAGGATAAACTATTTACATTTCCCTAGGCAAAGAATTTTTATTTTATTCTGAAATGAAAATTAAAATACTAATCAAGTCAGCAACTGCTCTGTTCTTAATACCAATAGTACCTTGCTTTTGTATAACATAATTTCATGCTATCTTGTGTAATCCCTACAGCAAGTTATTATGTAAAGTACACTGACCCCATTTTGCTGATACAGAACGAGGCGTGGAGAGTTACAGAGATGTGTCTGGGGTTGCTCTGCTAGTAAATGTTAAAGGTATAACTAGGACCCTGGATTTTTTACGCCTAGTCTCTTCTAATTTTTATTATGTTTCATCTCCTTAGAGATAACCTCCTGTGTTGGTTAGAATCAAACAGATCTGGAGTCCCTGGCTTTCTCTCCCCTGCAAAATGAAATCCAAAGGAACTTACCCCCTGAGGGCTGCTTTTTGTCACAGGCTATCCCAATTTTTTCTTACTGAAAGGAGGATTAAATTGTCTCACTAGCTGACTCAAAAGTTTGAGGAATGGTTTACCCTGACTGGGCACCCAGGCTGGGTATGAGAAAGGAGACAAGCTGAAATTGTCAGTCTCTAAATCTGGTCTTTTGAGCAGCCGAGTTTTAAAATGTTTGGCAGAGAACTTTAGTGAAAGGCTAGAATGGTCTGGTGATCATTTGTTATCACAGCTTCTATTACTATAGGTAATTTGGATGTTTCTTTGTCTTGAGACCAATATATTGATGAAGTGTTTCAATATTCCAAGTGTTGATAGAAAACTAAACTTTCACACAAGCCTAATCATTCTAAGAACAAAATTGCAACCAGTACAATAATATGTCAGTACCTTTAAAATCAACTTAAAAAGTTGCATACTTCAGTCCATACTTAGGAGTATGTTTTTAAAGACAATTGAACATGTCTCCTAAGAGTAAGACATACTTTTTTTCTGATGATAAATGCATTTGTAGGGTCTTTCCAAGATGAATCATAGGGGAAACAAGACCGTATCGTTAAATCCATCTTTGAAGAAGAGGCTTAACATCAGACTATCATTGCATCCTACGTGCAGTGATGGAAGCGAGGCCTCTACTCAGCACTGTAAAGCCAGAGGGCAGTATTGCTGCCTGTTCACCAAGCAGCGTATTTCTGCTGTATGATGTCATAGCAGAAGGAAAATTAAAACATGACAAAACTTTCAAAGTAGACCTTTAATGTAATTTTCTTTAAGTCAAAGGAAAAACTGATTAAACATTGTCTCCAGTGGACCATGCAAGTGAGCAGGACCAGCCCCTCCAGCTTTGAATACCCTGAGTTAGGCTTGCCTGGCATCATTTCCCTTGATTTATTGATTTGTATATGCCTCTAACACGTCATAAGGTGCATTTCACTCGGAAGTTCCCACCTCCGCCACTATGTCCAATTAGCTGCAAAGCCAGCTTCCAAATTCAGATTTATTTCCCTTTCCCTGCATGAGTTCTTAACCTTCAAAATTTGATGATTGCATGATTCTCTTGTATAATTTCCCCAGGAAAATGTATATATATAACACAAGTCTACATATAATTTCATGGGGTTCATGATTCCCAAAGCCCTTTGGTTTCTAAGGCCCCAAGTTAACCCCCATGCTACTGATTTAAAGCAATGTTAACTGCCCTGGGGAAACTGAGGTGAAGATGGACTGGGTTAACCATGGTAACAGGAGGGAAAAACCTTTTAATTTCCTACTTCGATCTGGAGCAGAAATGAATTCCCAGGGCCTCGCTGCAGGAGCAGAACCACTCAAAAACCTAAGCAGCAGTCAGTGCCGTTTAGGGAACAGAACAGCGGCTGTTCAGCAGATGTGCAGGGTTTCGGACTTGGCTTTTTAATTTAGCTCCTTAACCAGAAACTTTACATTGGATTTACAGTGAAGGGACATTTCTAATTTTAGTTTGATGCTCATGGATTTCTATCTCCTATTCCTTTTTCTGTGGGGGAGGGCAAAGAGGGCAGTTACAGGGGCACCTAATTATTGAATAGCCAGGCACTCCTTGGAATGCCCCAGACAGCCAGTACCTCTGTAAGCGCCGTAGTCCTTACCTTTAAAACCCCTGTTTATCCAATTATTGTTTGCACTAAGAAAGAGGTTGGTTTACCAAGAGCCTCTTCGAGGCATCCAGGACAACATAGCCTTACTGGGGAGGGGAGTTACTGAAAAAACCAGGACTCAAATGAGACCTTCAGTTGTTTAACAAGCTGCCAATAGAAGTTAAAATTTAAGCTTCTGATTGTAGCTACTTTCTACTTCCCTAACACCCCAAACTGGTTTATTTCTCCAGCATCAAGAAAAGCCAGGCACTAGAAAGCATACTTACAGACTGAAGATAATGGAGTCTTTATCTTTCGCCTGAAGTGTACATGTAGCACATTAAAATCCATTCAAGGAAAAAATCGGCAAATTAAAAATTCTCCTATTAAGACTTTTTTGCAATTTAAATTTAACGGCCTCTTTATCCCCCTCAATGTAATCACATCAAATAAGTCAGTACCATTTTGAAATAGGTCTAGAAATCACACTGCAACTGTTACATTTACAAATATTAAATTTATTACAGCTAGAATGAATTTAATGGTTCTCAGATTTAACCACCTTAGAGCTTAGTTTGAGGGTTTTAAACAGAAAAATGCATTTTAACTTGGTCAAATTACATTCATATAAAAAAAACCTTCTAAAAAGGAAAACGAGAAGCATCCCTTCAGTTTCACATAATTAAAGAAAAGGAGAAAGCACGCAAACTACATCATAGCTAAATTTACCAAACCAACCAAAGCTGGGGGGATTTTTTTCTTCTGATTATGTGTCATAAAAGGTCCACGTCTTATATACACTTGTATATAATGTTACATTCCATCACTGTAAAAAGTCCCCTTTGTCCCCTCCCCCCCAAAAGTTTCAGTCTAATCTCCAAACTTGGACAGCGGCGCCCGCTCCTGCTGCCGGTGCAGTTCGTTCTCCGTCAGCAGCTGGAGGTTCTCGGCGCGCAGCCGGTCCAGCTCCAGCTCCAGCTCCCGCACGCGCGCGTCGTCGCAGCCCAGCCGCTTGCTCTCTAGCCGCAGCCGGTTGTTCTCATCCTCCATGCGCGAGAGGCACTTCTCCAGCTCCAGGTACTCCCTGATGAGCTCCTGCTTGCTCATGTTCTGCAGGCTCTCCGCGTGGTACCGCTCGTACGTCTCCGAGAAGTCCCGCTGTAAGAAGTCGCTGCCGTCTCCCCCCATGCCGTCGCTGCCCCCATCCTCCTCGCCCGCTTCTTCCATAAAGTCCTCCTCGCTGGTGTCGTCGGACTTGGCGGCGGTCCGCTTGGGGTAGAGGCCGGTCTTGAGATCGGGCTCCTCCTGGTCGTGATCATCCATGAGGAACTGCGTGGTGTTGTAGGGGGCGACCGGCTGGCCCTTGGCGAACATCTCGGCTCGAATCCTGGAAGCTCGCAGGCTCTGCTTCTCATCGAACTTTCTCTTCTCCTCCCAGGTCAGCTTGTAGTACGGCTTCCAGTGCCGCTTCTTCTTGGAGCGTCTGCGGTGCTTTTTCTTGCCCAGCTGCCTCTGCTGCTGTCTCCACGCCTCATTCCTTGCAGCAGCAGCCCCCAACTTCTTGGCGTCGGAGTCATGGCAAGGTTGTGCGGGCGGCTCGGCGTCGGGCTTCGGGTCTCCTCCCGCGACCGGCGAAGGGGCCCCGCCCGTGGACGAGTTGTCCCCGTTCTGGCCCTTCTCGCCCGATTCTGGCTCTGCACAAGCCTGGGTCTGCAGGAGAGATGTCTGGGGCTCCAGGCTCCCTTCCCCCTCCGGCCCCGGACAGCCACTCGACTGGGGCGACGCTCTCGATTGCCACCTACTGTCCTCCTCTGGCACCCGCTCCTCCGCGCCTGGGGGGCGCTCGGGGTTCTGCTCCTCACGGACAACAGCACCTGTACAGTTGCTAGTTTGAGGCTGGTGCTGATATTCTGACAAGAGCGGCTCAGCCATGGTTAACAGAATCCTCTTCTCGAAGTTTGAAAAATGTTGGCTGTTAAGTCCTCACGCAAAAAAAAGGGGTTCCCCCTTTTACAAAATGTCCAACGGAGTCCTCTTCGGTCTGTAATCCCCGCAGAGACGCCTTCGGCCAGTCCGTCTAGCAGCAAACTCCAATTGCAAACTTGGGGGAGCGTAAGTCAGTAAGGGGTTAAAGCGCCCACAGCGCGGCCAGCTAGCGGGTCCAAGGGGGTGCAGCAGCAGGAACAGTACGTAATGTGCGGAGGGAGTGGGCCTCAGACCTCCCCACAGAGCGCCCCCCACGACCGAGGAGTTGGTGGGCAAGGAGCTGAAGCGCCGAAGTCCGGGTTATACCCGGCCCCGAAGGGGTTAAAACTACCCGATGACGCTGCCTCGGAGGGGCCGGATCCACAAAGGGTTAAATCCCCTGTCGCAGAGCCCACAAGGGGTTAAAGTCCCAGAGCCACCTCCTCCCACTTCCACGGGTGTCGCTCCAACCCGAGCTCCCAGTTCCTTAGGCCCGGCCGGAGCCTCAGCCGAGGACAGGCAAACTCATCTCCCCTTTGGCTCGATGCTCTGCTCAGCTCAGCTCAGCTCAGCTCTCCTCCGCCTCCTCTCCCTCCCTCCTCCCCCCTCCGACAGCGCCTCTTCCGCCTCCTCCCCCGACTTCCCCTCCCAACCTGCCTCTCCACCTGCCAACTTCCAACTGCTGCCTCCCAGCCCTCTGCGCCCCTTTTATATAGCGGCCTGGCTGCCCCGCCTATGCGCAAGCGCAACGAAGCCCCCATTGCAGGAAGCCGGGAGTCGTAGTTCCCATCTTTCGGGCCCGCCGTCCTCGCGCGCCGTGAGACGTAGCCAATGCCAGCGCGCGCAGGGGGCGTCTCGCCGACCGCCTCCTTCCATCGCTTAGCCCAGGCTGGAGGAACGTGAGCAACCATTGGCCGAGAGTCTCACGTCTCGCCCAGGAAGGCGAGCCAACCGCAGAGGCGACGGGGCGGGCTCTGGGCCATACCATTCTGCTTGGGGAATGCGAGAAGATTCGATGGTTTGTAAGCGCCCACTCGGAACGCTGTTACGAAAAGGCGCGTTGGAAAGCCCATTATTGTATTCGGCCCTCAGCGGAACGGTTCTGGAGGTCACCGACATCTGTGAACTACAGCAAAAATGGTTTATCCCTAAAAAGTAGTCCCTCAAGTGGGAGCCCTTCAAATTCTGCCGAGAGGGGGTGGTCCGCGCGCTAATAACTACCGATCCCTAAGATTACAGAAATGGCCTCTCGTGTGTGGGGAGTCCCTGCGGCTCACATTCGCGTAAGATCATTGGAACACGTTTTGTAAAAAAAGGAAAGAAAAGCGCATGAAGAAGTAAACAAATGCCTAAAAAGTGCCGTCTTAAAGGGGCCGCGACTACAGTAGCGCCGCCACCTGGGACTAGGCCGCGGGAGATGAGAAGGCAGGTTCGAGTCCCGGCCGGCGTCCACCTTCGGCCTGGCCTCGGAGCTCTAGGGCGCACGTCGCAGCCCCGGCCTGGGCTTGCAGAATCACTATCGCCGCAGGAGCCAATACAGAGTGGGGGGCGGGGGGGGAGGGGGGCCCAGCAGCCCAGGTTCCTGCCGGGTCGGTGTACGGGATGCGCGGGTGCGGGGTCTCCCGGGAGACTGGCGTGAAGGCCGCGCTCGCGGCCCGCAGCCGGGAGTGTGTCGGAGAAAATGGCCTCCTGGGGCCGACTCGATCTCTGCTTCCGACCAGAAACGTTTCCTGCGCCCTGCTAGGGGAGTCCGGGCCAGGTGATGAGCTCCTTTGTTGGTGGACTTGGAAATTTGAGTTCCTGTCACAACCCGACCGCTCTAGCCAAGCGGCAAGGGGGTCCACCGGAGGCCCTTCCTCCAGTGGGCGAGGGGAAGCGCCCCCCCCGCCCCCCCCCCCGGCCCAGGCTTGGCCAGAAATGGCCCAGATTAGGGGGTAAGCTCATGGGGGGCGCTGTGTTCTCCCTAGAGAGAATCTCGATCCCCAGCTCACATCCGAGGGCTGACGGGTGGCCCGGACCCTCCCCTCGAGCAACTTGGGCCTGAAAGCTGAGGGGACGCTCACCCACTTTTCCGCCCTGATGTCTTACATTCCAACCGCTTTCCACTGTTAAACATTGATACCTGCGTGACCACCTGACCCCACCACAGCCCGATGAGTTGGGCAAGGGTAGGGATTATTGTCTCCATTTTCAGATAAGAAATCGCTGAGCCTCGGAAAGGAGATGACCCGACTCGGTCACGTGACGACCAGGTGCAAGTGAGCCTAGAGCCAAGGACCCCCGTGCTGTTTTTCTGTCACAAACACAAAACCCCTGTCCTCAAGCACTCTGGACCTAGTTTTTTCTCATCCCAACAGCGTTAGCCTGGCTCAGGTCCTGTTTCTTCACTCAGCAAACACTTGTGAATAACCGGCATTCAGGCTGCCATGTGCAGAGGCCGTCAAGATGAAGCCACTGGCGCGTGAGCAAGACCCTGGCAGGAGTTTGAGCCAGGCTGCTTAGGAGTCGGGGGCTTCAGGCAGGTTTTATGCAGGAGGTGACTTCCTGTCTTTTCTGTAGGATGTACTGTTCCAGGGCACCTAAGATGACAGCATGGTGTCCAGAGAAAAGCCTGGTCTAGGGCTCCTAGCTCCTTGGGGAGAGCTGCACAAGAGCGCCTTGGGGCACATGCCTGGGCCTGGACAGAGCTTAGGTCCTTCTGAAGGGCCTGCCCCCCTCTGTCAGTCGTGCAACTTCCTGTGGGTAAGCTGTGCCCCTCACACCGTGCTCCCCAAAGAAAAGGGTTTTTGCAGATAAATTCACAGATCTCCAAATTGTTACCACAAGCCAGAATCCAGAGGACCCCTCAGTCGAGCCAGAGGGTACAGCTGAACCCAGCCTCACTTGACAGGACAGGGCTCAGCTGTATGGGCTTGTTTTCGTGTTGGGGGAGGGGTGGCCAGACTGATAGCGGTGGAATTCTAGAATTCTATCACAGGCCAGGCATCCTTGATGCTGCTTTAACCCTTCTCCACGCATTTCACATTCTCTGGTCGTTTAAACCTTAGAACTGCCTTAGGAGGAAGATAACATCTGTTTCACAAACAAGCCAACCCAGGCTTGGAGAAGTCAAGAACCTTGCTCACGTCACATCTCATCTATGCAAGTGGTGGGGCTGGCTTGCGCCCCTTGCCAGCATTCCCAGCACCTGTTTGCTTCCCCCACTGCCCGCTGCTGCTGTGCATGAACACAAGCCCCTCTGCTTACAACTTTGCGGCCGTGCAGCAGCAGGGCCCACGCAGTGGACTGAGTTATAACACTGACCTTGGCTTCCAGTGGATGAATGGCGGCAAGCTGGGCAGTGGTTAGCTGGGAGCTCAGGAGCGTAAGGGTCTCCTAGGGGCCTTCTGAGCAGCCTCCTCCTCACCCCGGGGCAGGGAGGGCCTGGGGCTCAGGTGGCGCAGCTGCAGGGAGAATGGGGCTGCTGCACCCTCAGGTGGGACCCTGACCCGCGGCCTCAGAAACATCAACACTAGGAGGCGCTCCGAGTGGCGAGTTCCCCGCGGAATCGCGGGCCTCATTAGGGCCAGGTCGGACCATAGGGCTGGTGCTGGCCTGCACAGGAAGGTCAAGGCCGCCAGGCAGGAGAAAAATAAGCTCGAAGCACGAGCCGCCGCCGGCATCCCGAGGCCTGTGCCCATCCCTGCGTAGGGTCCCTCTGGCTCTAAACGGGGCGAGGGCGAGCCTCCCGTGGGGCCTGGCCTACCAGAAAGTCCCGAGGGAAAGCCCACACGAGGAGGACAAGGGCGGGAGCGCTGGGGCGCACACTTGCGGGGCCGGGGTCTCCAGACCCATGCGGCCACCCATCCCTTTGGGAGGCAGAGCCTCGGCCCGCATTCCTGTTCCTTCACCACCCCCAACTCTCCAGGCCCTCCCGACGGTGGGGAGGCCCACCGACTGCCCTGACTGCCCCCCGCTGGCCGCTGGCCATTCGCTGCCTCGAGCTGCTGGGGGCCGCTCCCCCTTCGCCTCCAGACCTCGGTGTTCCTTCGCAGGCCCAAGAGACCAAGTGCCCCTCAACAACCCCGCCCTGGGCGTCCCGGCCATTTGCGGGGGGAGGGGGGCAGGGGGAGGGGCGCCCCGGGCACCGTTTCCCGCCTCACTCCGGAGGGCCAGGCGGCAGCAGATTAAGGCTTTATTTTATTTACTGAGACACTCATTTGTAAGCGAATCTTCAGTGCAGACGTCCTGAGTGGGGGAGGGGGCGGTGAAACGCAGCTCCCGCCCCTCCCCTTGGGGCCTGCCCCCCTCCTTCCCCCACCCGCGGGCCTCTGGCCGCTCCCGCTGCCCCAGCCAATCACACGCCCAGGCGCGGCCCAAGTCCTAACTTGCCCAGAGCGGAGCCTCCGAGGGGAGAGGCTGGGGTGGGAGAAGAGTCAGGTGACCCAGAGGGTGGGGAAGGCAGAGGCTGAGACCCGGCAGCCCCGCCCGCCGGCCCGGAGTCACCGCCGCCCAGAACCCCGGACAAGTACTGCCTGGCAGCCTCAGAGGGAACGTGGGGGACTCGGGTGGGGGGAGGCCGGAAGCGTCCATGTAAAACTTCAGGAAAGGGTGGGGTCTTATCCGGCCCCCCAGTAGGGCAGGGGTGCCTAGGCAAACACTTATGGGGGAGGGGGGGACGGGAGTCGTTGAATGCTGTTCTGAACCCTAGACAGGCTCAGGGCACCGCAGGCTCATGGCCTCCTCCTCGGCTGCAGAGACCCCTCCGTGGACAGTCACCTCTTCTGAGTCCGAAACTGTCGGAAGAGCCACTGGACGATGAAGGGCCACAGGAGGAAGAAGAGCAGCGTGGGGCCAGAGAGACTGAGGGGCCAAGGCCTGGACCTGGATGGGGGCTTCTGCTGCCAAGAGGGAGGGCGTCAGGGGCAGTCCAGGCCTCGCACCACTGGCCTCCTTACAAACCCAGCGGGCTTCTGCCTCCCCGAGGTGGTGAGGGCAGAGACCAGACCCTGTGGATCTGCCCCCCTGGAAGGGGAGGCCCCCCCCAGTGTGTCCTTGGCAAGAGGCACTGCCAGGGGCTGGAGACCGGCAGCAGTCTCCTCTGGGCCACAAAGCAGTGACCGGCGGTATGGCCCGCAGGTCCCATCTCCAAAAGGATGTGCTACCTTTATGAAACCTGGACCTGGAGGCACCAATTTTAGTTTTTAAATGTACATCTCGGCCCTCCCTGGTGGCACAGCAGGTTAAAGCGCAGCACAATGAAGCTCTCCACAGCCACTACAGCATGAGTTCGATCCCTGGCCAGGGAGCTGACCCACAGGGCACAGCAGACCTCTCCTGTCTGTCCGCTGCTCCCCTCAGCAGTGTGTTTCAGTCCATCTGCCTGTTCTGCACCCCACTCTGTCTAGTGAATCCTCTCACCCCCTGCACCCCTAGCCTATGCCCCAGTTCTGAATGCATAATTAAATAAATCTTTTAAAAATCTCCTTGGAGAAGTGCCTGACTTCAGGGCTGGAGCAGGGAAGGGAGAGGTGAAAGTGGCAGAAGGTACCAGAAAGCTGGGTGCTTTCACAGACTAATGAGGCCATATGCCAGGCATATGAACCTAGCTCGAAAGGCTCGCTGCTGACCAAAGCTGTGAGTCCAAGCATCAAAAAGTATGATGATTGCAGTTGACTGAAACACCAAATCTTTAAAACCCATGAGTTTATAATGAAACTCGACAAAAGAGAAAGTTAGAAATTTATCCCCACTGAAGTGACTGTTAACTCCTTACTTTAAAAATACATAATTGAAAGAAAGAAGTAAGCACTTATTCTATCTTTCCACAAGGCACTGTATTTCAGGGAAATCCTAGAGGGTCAGGGAAACTCCACCCAAAAAATGATAGCAAATGCATGTTAGAGTAATAAAAGAATTTAAAAGTCATGGTATGTGGGGGCGCAGGCTTGCTGGTGGCCTAGGGGTTAATCTCAGCGCTATGACCGTGATGGCCTGAGTCCATCCCTGGCCAGGGAGCTGACCCCCATGGCGCAGCAGACCTGTCTGCTGTCTCGCCTGCTGCTCCACGCAGTAGTGTTTCAGTACATCTGCCTGTTCTGCTCCCCACTTTCTCTATTGAATCCTCTCATTCCCTATAACCCCCATACCTCTGAAATACATCCCAATTCTTGTACAAAAAAAAAAAAAAAGCCATGGTTTTTGCAGCCACTAAATTAGTTACTGAAGCTGTCCCAAATTAGCCGTTGTCAAACTCTGTGTGAAAAGCGAGACTGACAAGGAACTGGACACCCCCCACTGACTTCCCAATTGTGGGGTCACACTCATTCTATCCATGCCAGTGGCCCACACTAGAATCACTGATGGTGGGAAGACAGTCCCCGCTTATGTAATCTGGCCACCTACACCAGTCCTGAGGGTATAAAATGATCCAAAACGTGGAGCATTTACAGGACCGCTGGTCCAGCCTCATCCACCAGCCAGCAGCAAGAGGAGGGAACTGGCGTGGATGGAGAACGCTAACTGGACGCGGGGAGGGGCGGGGGCGCGCGCTCCTGCACTAGGCTTGGAGAAACTGGACAAGGCGATTTCAGGATAACTGGGGAGATCTGAATTTGGATAACATGAAGAAATCAGTTGGATGTGATGAAATGTAGGTTTGGCTAGGTAGTAGAGAGGCAAAGTCAAGGAATTCAGAGTGGAAATCTTGAAAACGTTAGGCGTATAAAATGACTGGGCTGTTGGAAAAGTCAAGGTGCATGAAAAAATAGGCCCTCCCTGGTGGCGCAGCGGGTTAAAGCACAGCACTAAGAAGCTGAAACCACTTCCGCATGAGTTCAATTCCCGCCTGCCCCGGAGGAGACCACATGGCGCGGCAGACCTCTCCTGACCCGCCTGCTGCTCCCCTCAGCAGAGTACCTCGTCAGTCGGCCTGTTCTGCTCCCCACTCTGTCTCTGGTGAAGTCTTTCGCCACCCCTGAGTCTCTGGCCTGTACCCCAGTTCTGTATGCACAAATAAATATTTAAAAAAAAAAAAATAGGGCCCTCCCTGGTGGCTCAACAGGTTAAACCACGGCACTATGGCCGTCCCTGGTTGCACAGTGGGTTAAAGTGCAGCACTGCAAGCTGGCCTCAGCCACTTCAGTGTGAGTTTGAACCCTGGCTTTGGAGGAGACCACATGGTGCAGCAGACCTCTCCTGTCTCGCCCACTGCTCGCCTCAGCCGTGTACTTCATCAATCTGCCAGAGTGTGTTTCGTCACTCTGTCTCTGGTGAATCCTCTCACCCCCTGCATCTCTTGCCTGTGCCCCAGTTCTGTATGCATAAATAAATAAATCTTAAAACAAGAACAAAAACCCACAGCTATTGCAGCCACTGAGGCACATATTCAATCCCCAGCCAGGGAGCCGACCCAAAGGGCACAGCAGACCTCTCCTGACCCGCCCACTGCTCCCCTGAGCAGCGTATTTCAGTAGCTCTGCCTGTTCTGCTCCCCATTCTGTCTCTGGTGAATTCTCTCACCCCTTGCACCTCTGGCCTGTACCCCAGTTCTTTATATGCATAAATAAATCTTCTTAAAAAAAACAAAATTATGTCAAAACTTTTCCAATAACCCAAGGGTAAAAGACAAAAAAAAAAAAAAAAAAACCTGGGGCATAGGTGTTGAAAGGCTAGCAACTACAAAATTCCTGCCACCCTTGCCGACTGTGCCAAGGGGATTAAGGGTCACCCGAGTGATCCCCGGATTCAGCAACTTGGCCTTCTTCTGCCACCACCACCCCAGGCTCAGAGTGAGTGGTGGCTGCCAGTCCGCGAGGGACACAGACCCGGGCCACTCCCAGTTTCCTTGCTCAATGTCAACAATAGTAACAATCGCACGAACCCCATTTGAGGAAGCCTGCCTGTGTGGGGGGTGCTGTAGAAGCACCTACATGTATTATCTCATCTAAACAGCCGCTTTATGAGGTTCTTCCCGGCTGTGTGTAAATTATTCAGCCTCTCAGAGCCTTAGTTTCCTCATCTGTAGCAGGGGAGAAAAAAGAAAACCTATTTCATAGGGTTGCAGTGTGGATGAAATGAGATCATCCGAGTGGCGTGGCACAAACTGGGGCCCCAGGAATGGCAGCTGATACTTAATTTGCAGGCACCCAGGAGCCCAGGGCACAGGGCAGATTGAGGGCAGGAAGCTGAGGGCAGGGAGTGAAGGATGCATGGGCTGAGCTGTTTGGGGGTGGAAGTCCGGGTCTGGAAACAGGGACAAGGCACCTCCAAAGCTAAGAGCAGACACACCCCAGCCCGTCCAGCTGTTAAACGTAGTCCTGCGCTCAGTCCTCCAGGCAAGGACATGGGAGAGCAGGGAAGGGGGGCCCTCCCCACTCGCCTCAGACCCCTGGTTTCCCCGCTCAGGACCTGAGTCACACCGTTCCCCGGTCACAGCAGAGGTGGGCAGGTGGACACCGGGGGACAAGGACAGAAGTGGTTGTGTGAGGAGCCCAAACAGGGGCTAGATTAGGGCACCCTAATCTCGCCCTGGGCCTGGGGGACTCACCTGTCTTGGGGGGCGGGGCATACTCTCCAGGCTCTGCAGTCTCCCCTGGACATCCCGCATGCTCTCCTGCAGCGCTCGAACTGTTCCCACCAGCCACTCGTCCAATTCCTGGGGCCCCAGCAGGCCGCCCTCCAGTCCCTCTGTGGAGCACAGACACGCGGAGGGGGAGGGGCTTAGGAGGGGGAGGCTTGTGCAGGCTGGGGCAGAGGCGTGGAGTGCCATCCCTGGCACAAGTGTGACTCTCGCAAAGCCCATCCATGTGGTGAACAGCTACAAGGAACCTGGGCCTCAGCTCTGCCACTCAGTTGTGTGACTGGGCAAGCCAATAACTGTTCCGAGCCTCCTTCGGTCACCTAAAAACCAGGGGAAGATGCCATCTCCCTGCGGGCTGCTTACTCAAAGGAATAAATAGTTTTCCTAACCCTCATGAAACACGGCACACTGGAAGTTCTAGAGGAGGCCGGCAGCGCTCATTACCCCCCTGAGAGTCCCAAAGGAGAGGCTCAGTGAGAGGATGCGCCCAAGGCTGTAGTGACGGAGCTGGACTCTCCCCTGCCAGCTGCCCTGACTCGGCCCCAGCCTGGCCACAGACTCCTGGTGGCCCTCATCCAGAGGTGCCCTGGCAGGGACTTTGCCCATCCAGCTTCATAGCCAGCTGATTGGCAGCTCTTGCCTGAGACTGTTCTCGCCATGCCCAGAGCGGGACTTTCACCTCTGCCCCAAGAGGGCAGTCAGGGGAGCCCGGGGCACCAGAGCCACAAGGAAGAGCAGCGGGGTGGAAGGCCGGGCGGAGTTCACCTTTCTCAGGGGGGCGGTCAGGGCTGGAGCTGTATGTGGCCTCAGGAGCTGGTCCAGGGGCTCCCTGCTGCTCTGCCCACACCTGCAGGGGAGTCACAGCGCTGAGGGTGGAGGGGCGCAGCAGGGCTCCGGGGGTCAGGAGGAGAGAAGGGGCTGCTCTCACCGGCGCAGGCTCCAACTGCTCCAGGGAGTCACAGAAAACCTCAGAGTCCAGGTCCCTGACCGGCGGAGGCTCTGGGGAGGGGCAAGCAGGTTAGTGACAGGGGAGGATAGACAGGAAGGGGTGGGGCGGTCAATCGGGCCTCTGTTCAGGGGACACTAGAGACACTACCACTGGGCAAAACTGGCTCTGCGGGGTCCCAGAGCCCCCCCACATCTGGAAGCGCAGGAGGCTGGGTCTGTGGGCACGAGGCGGCAAGCACAGCAGGCCACCTCTATGCCACCGGGAGGAGCCTCACCCCTGGCACTGCCCTTCTTGCCCAGGCACTGACCTGAGCTTGGGGGTGCTGGTTCTTTGGGGGGGCAGGGAGGCTCTGGGGCCGCCCCAGCGTCTCCATTCAGTACCTGCTCTTTCCAACCTGCAGAAACACAGCACCACAGGTGGAGCTGGGAAGAAGCTGGCCCCTGCTCCCCGTTAGTCAGCCATGAACTCTGCCTGAAACCCCAGCCCCATCAGGAGCACTGGGGGTGCTTATAAGCACGTCAGCTGGAACCCCCTGCCCCCCACACCCCCTTCCAACTGCGCAGTCTCCTCAGCCTGGAGCTCTGATAGTTCACTCAGCACCTGCAGAGTTCCCAGCCTGCAGACCTGACCTGTGACCCTTCTCAGGAAGGACTCCGGGGGCCTCGGCATGTCAGGGATCACCTGGTACAGGGGCTCGAAGTAACCAAACATGTCCTCTGCCACCTCGCCCAGGGGCACTGTGTCGATCACCTGTGGGGGAGGGGGTCTATTGGGGAGAGGCTGGCCCCTACCCCAACTGCCCTCCTAGCCCCCTTGCCTGGGCCCCTCCGACTTGCTCCTGTCCAGTCTGGAACCACAGACAGACTGAGTTGGGGGGAGAGCAGGAAGGTGGATGACCACAGCAGTGCCAATACACGACAGACATACTGGGGGTCAGCACTGAAGGGGGAGGGGCAGGCCACCTGGCTGGGAGCCCCCAGCCTGTCCCTACCTTCTGTGCCACCAGCTTCATCTCAGTGATGTAGGCGGACATGGCCTCCTCCCTGCTCATCTTGCCAAGGCTGTTCCAGGCGTCCCTGGAGGGCAGAGGGCGGTGAGGGTGCAGCTGACAGCTGAGCCTTGATTGCCCGGCTGGTGGGGAGCTCACCACTTATATCGTCCAATGGGGTCCCAGAAACCAGGCCGGGGCACGAGGCAGGGTCCCATGGTAGCCTGCTTGTAGTAGCTGTAGAATCGCAACATCTCCTCGTAGGAGGGGCGGTATGAGCCTGCGCGGATTGGAAGTGGCGGGCAGAGCATCACCCCAGCGCCAAGAGGATGGAGGTGGGGGAGATGCCCTCTTGGAGGGTCGCTCATGGTGGGGTCCCACCCAGGACAGCTGGGCAGGGCCCCTCAGGGGGAGGCAGGCAGGGACTTGTCTGCAAAACTGAGGGGATCAGAGCTTCCTGGAGGCTGACCGGCGCACTTGCCCCCACCGTGTGGTGCGGCCCCAGCCCTCACCATTCTTGGGCAGGTTCTGAATGACGCTGACAGCGGCCTGGAATTGTTTCTGGCAGTCCGGTTCTGGGCTCTCACTCTCGGTGCCCATTCCCAGGCGCCCGAGTCCTGGGGCCCCACTTTTGAAGGACTCTGCAACAACAAACCTCCCATGAGCAGGCCACCGCTCACGCCAGCCGTCCACTCTCCGGAGAGGCGAGCTGCGCTCTTCAGAGGCCGCCGGGAGATACCCCGGGATGCCAGGCGCTGCCCTGAGGGGCCTCCTTCCCCCACGCGCGGCAGCGTGGCTGGGCACAGAGGCGCCGCGGTGGGCGGTGGGCAGCGGGCAGGGTCGCGGGCCTCTCTAGAGGCAGCCCCCAACTCCCCCGGGGGCGAATGGGCAGGAGAGGAGGAGTGAGGCGGGGCGGGCCGCCTCCCACCCTGGCCCTCACGCCCCGGCCCAGCCGCGCGGCACTCACCCCGCAGCGCCCACTGCCCGGACCCCGGGGCCCGCTCTCGCCTCCAGCCCGAAGCTTCCGAAGCTTCCGACTGACCTCCCGGCCCGGCCCGGCCGGGATGCCGACGCCGAGCGAGGGGGAAACTTAAGCCAGTGAGAGAGCGCGTTTCAGATGCGGCCTCTCACGCCAGCCACTCAGCGCGGCCCTTTCAAGATTATGCAAACAAATTAGCGCGGCTTCTCCCAATCAGGCCCCGCGGAGGCTCCCTCGGCTCCCCAACCCGGACGCCCAGAGGCGGGCGGAAGCGCCCCCTGGTGGACGTCCTGACTGACGCGGCGTCCTCGCGCGCCAGGGTGGAAACCTGCGTGGGTCCCCTGAAGCCAGGTCCCGCAGATCCCAGCGACCTAACGCAGCGCGTCACACTTACAGGCGTTGAGAAAAAAAGTCATGCCCGGGCCCTCCCTGGTGGCGCAGTTAGAGCGCAGCACTGCGAAGTTGGCGGCTGACGGCAGCCGCTTCGGTGCGAGCTCGATCCCCGCCCTGGAGCTGGCCCACAGGACGGGGCAGGACTGTCCGGTCTCCCCGCTGCTCCCTCAGCAGTGGACTTCGTTCATCTGCCTGTTCTGCTCCCCGCTCTGTCTCTGGTGAATCCTCTCACCGCCCCTGAGCCTCTGGCCTGTACCCCAGTTCTGTATGCATAAATAATACATCTTAAAAAACAACAGCAGGGTTATGGCTGGGATCAGGGGTTCTGGAGCTGAGTTTTGGAAGACTGAAGACTAAATCAGCTTGAGGAAGGTCACTCCTGCAGGAAAGGAAATACAGGATCTAAAGTACAGAAGCGGAGACCTGACTTTCCGAAAGCACATCCAGAAGGGTGCGCACCCAAGCCAGGAGGCGCAACTCGGGGCCGGGGGAGGGGCGGCTGAGAACCCGGAGAGCGGCAGGCGGCAAATCTAGGTCCAGGAACGCCGAGCTTTCTCTCCGGCCTGCCGCGCTCCCGGCCGCCGCCGAGGGGCGGTGTGTGCCCAGCTCCCGCCCGGCCGGGCGCTCGCTGCTGACCTGCACACCCGCGCGCACTCGCCGGCCTCCGGCGCCCGCCACCCCACTTTGGCGCACAGACATGCTCGCGCTTTTATAACTAGCAAGTGCACACATGCCACGGTCACCAGGACCTGCACTCGACGCTCACCCACCGTTGATGTCAGGGACGTCTGCAAAGCGCGCTGTGGCCGTCCCGGGCGATTGCACTCAGCTGGGGTGCCAACTCGCCCAACCCTCCAAGCCCAAATCGGGATTCTGCGGGGGACTCTAGATTTGGCGCCACCCCAAGCTCTGCACGCCAGTTTCCAGACGTCTTCCCACTGTGGGGGCAGCTGGCCGGGCGCCGAGAGAGTTAACCCCGTGACGTCACAGCCAGAGCCTTCCAGCTCCCACCCACACTTCCCGCTCCCTCATCCCTCCGGCTCGCGCTGCCCCGCCGCGCGGCTCGGCCCCAGGACCCCTGTCGGCTTTCTGGGCCGGAGGACGTTGGCCCAGGACGAGCCGCCCCGCTGACCCCGGCTGCCTTCTGGGCCCTCTCGGCCGGACGGGAAAGGGCCGGGTGGAGAGGGGTCCGGATTCCGCGGGAGTCAGCACCCCTTGAAAGGATGGGGTGTCTATTCCAGAGGGCGGCTCTCCCCCCGCCGGTGCCCGCCGCTCCGGCCACCGACGAGCGGGGGACCCGAGGGTCGCACGGAGCATGGGGAGGCGGCCTCCCTAGCAGGAGGTGAACGCGGAGACTGGGGGACGCTGGCCGCGCGCCCGGCGGGCGCAGCTCCCGGCCGGGGTCACCGCCCCCTCCTCCGCCCGGGCCTCGCGCCTCCCCCGCGCCGTCCGGGCCCCGCCCCTGCCTCCCGGCCCTTTTTCCAGCTCCGCGGCGCTCTGTCTCTCCTCCGCCGACACCTCCTCCTCGCGACTCCCTCCCGCCGCTAAGTTCCGTCGCTCGCGACGGCGCGCAGAGCCGGGGCCGGGCGGGAGCGGCTGACCTGTCCCCGCGTGCGGACCCCGGGCCCGGCCCCGGCCCAACGAGCATGCTGTGTGTCCGCTGGGGGAACTGCCGCCGGGTGCGGGCCCAGGTCGCAGCGCCGGTCTCGATCCCAACCTCCGACGGCGGCACCAGGAGCCCCGGGCTGCGGGCGCTGAAGAAGATGGGTCAGTGACCGGCTGGGCCTCGGGTGGGCGCAGCCAGGGAGGGCCCCGGGTTCCGACGAGCCGCTCGTAGGCTCGCCGGCTGCGTGGGCGGTGCGGAATGTGAGGTGGGGTGGAATGCCAGCACCCTTCCAGCTGCGGGTCACACCTGGGGTCACCCGAGACCCCCGGCTGAGCCAGCGGCCGCGGTTTCCCACCAGCAGGCGCCCCCAGGAGGTGCGGCCGCAGGAGTCTGGGCAGGGGGCACATTGGGGTCCCTGACAACCCCGAGGGAGTCCCTCACCTGCCTCCCCAACCCCTGTGCCTTCTAAGGTTTGCGGGTGCCCCAGGGCTTCCTGGGTTCTGGCAGCCCGTAGGAGGGCGGGAGGTTAGCAGAGCGGCTCGCCTTCCTGCCCGTCCCCCCACTGGGGGCTCTAGCAGCGACGCTGTGCGGGTGGAACTGGTCTAACTGGTGAGAGCACAGCCCCGAGTTCCAGTCCCCGATTTGGGGGAAGGAATGTAAATGTGGTTTCTGAAGACTCAGCAGGGCACTGGGTGGCAACAGTGTGGATTCTTCCAGTCTCCACCGTCCAGACAGCTAGTGGTATAATCCCCTCCGCAGAGGAGCGAAGTGATTTAGAGCAGTCAAGGAGTCTGTCTGGGGCAGCACAGCTTGGCAGGAGCATGTAGGTGGTGGGGTCCCGCCGCTGCTGCCCCCCCTAGAGTGTGGGCACGGTGGGACTGACTGACTGGTTGGTAATTGAGGGACTTGAGTGAAGCGGGGGTATGTGTATTTCCTGAAATGTAAGTCAGGGAGGACTGGAAATCTGAAGTACTGGTAGAGCCCGTGAGAGTGGGCTGAGGGGACAGCGGGCAGCGCTGCCCCAGGCCTGTGTGGCTCTTAGGGCAGATCAGGGGTCCCCACTGCCAGTCCGGCCTCCCTGTGCCACGGTCCCCTTGTCCCTTTCCTGCTCACCTCTGCAGCCCCTCACTCATTCATACTGAGTTTGCGGAGAGCCGATTTTGCTCTGTGCTCAGAGCCTGCACCCTCCTCGGAGATCCGGGCCATGATCTCAGCGCATCCTCCAGCAGTCCAGGGTGCATTCAGCAGCACTGAGGGCCTGTAGTATGCTCGGCCCTGCGGGTTCCTTTTTTATTTTTTAAGATTTTATTTTTGCCTAGAAGTGAGATGTAGGCTGGGGATGGGGGTGAGAGGATTCATCAGAGGCAGTGACAGAGTGGGGAGCAGAGCAGGTGGGTCAGCTGAGGGGAGCAGTGGGTGAGACAGGAAGGCCTGCTGCACCATGTGGGCCACCTCCCTGGCTGGGGATCGAAGCAGGCCTGCCTGATGGCAATGCTGAGACTTAACCCCTGGGCCACCAGGACACCTGTCTGGGGCAGGGGGAGGGAGGGAGGCTTCTGCAGTGAGAACAAGACAGACAGTCCTGGCCCCTAGAGAGTGAAGCGTCACCTAGGAGGTCAGGCCATGAGACAGAAATGAAACTGAAGGGAGGCACCAGTGAGCTGTCAGGGAGCAGAGCAGCTGCACCCCTGAGCCAGAGTACAACTGGAATGAGCCAAAAAGAGAGGTCAGGTGGGGGCCACTTCCTCAAGGCCCCTCCTTAAGTGCTTTCTCTGGAGGTAGCTGAGTTCCTGAGGCTTTGGGCATATTATTTAGAGTAGGATTGCAGGATAAAGGCAGAAGTGAGCAGGGAGAACCATCGGATGGGGGCTGAGGAGTCAGTTGCATGAGAGATGGTGGCAGGATGGATTCCACCTCAGGGGGTTAGGAGGTGCAGTTGTGGGATTGGAAAGGTGTGACTGGGGTAGCAGTATTGCTCTGGCTTAAGGAGCAGAGAATGGTCTGGGGAGAGGAGGACAGCCGTGGGGAGCTGAGGAGCCCGCGGGCGGGCGGGGTGAGGGATGCCAAGGGAGGACGGAGGTGATTCCCCTGCATACCTGTCTGCCTCTTCGTTCCACACACACCTGCCACGACACCCCAACCATGTGTCAGGGTGCCATGCCAGGGCTGGATTACGGAGGTGACGGTGCAGCACCTTGCCCTTGGGGATGCATTATCTGGTGGCAGGAGACACTATAGACAAATAATTATAGCTGAGCCCAGGACGCAGCACCTGTCACTGAGCAAGGTGCACGGGACCTCTGGCTCCCATCACAATGACACTGTCGGGAACTGTGTAGGTGTCAGCACGTCATCTGGGCTGTCCACTCCCACCGACTGCCCCATCCTGCCGCGTGACTGCTGCCGAAGGAATGCCCAGTCTGTGGAGAATGCACTCCCAGGCATACAGAGTGCAGGTGAAATACAGGTGACCTGGGCCCCACCCAGCTAGGCCCTGGCCGCCTGCCACCCAGTGGCTTCCCCTAGCAGCTGCCTTTCCTTAGGTGGCCCTCGCTGTGGTGGGTCACCTCCCTCGCTATGCCTCTTGTGCTAATAGAGAACAGATTTTATGTTAGTTCAGGTCCACTGACATATGAGGGTCGCAAGGGGCCAAGGAAAAGAACGGTTTTAGGGTGTGTAGGAGGAAGGACCAGCTGCCCTGCCCCACTGGGGTCCCTCAGGGACTGGCTGCTGGGCCCGCCCCAGGGAGCCAGGGAGGGAACCGCTGAGGAGGAGCCAAAGGCCAGCCAAAGGCCGCACAGGGCCTTGCTCAGCCCAGATCCTCTTAATCCCAGCACAGTTAGGAACCTGGGGAGATCCTGTGTGCACCCCAAGACCCCAGGCTAAGAGGAAGGCTTTTACCTGCGGGATTAATGAGGCTCATTAACACCTTTATAACATGTTAGCTCAACAATGACCAGCCCTGGGGAGGCAGTTGGTACCATTATCCTCACCTTCCAAATGAGGAACCAGTTCAGAGAAGCTGGGAGCTGGGAAGTGGCTGAGAGGATTTGAACCACAGTCTGGCCCAGGGTCAGGTTGCCAATACAATGAATGAATGAGTGAGTGAGTGAATGAATGAGTGAGTGAGTGAGTGATTTAAAGTTGGAGAGGGCCTGGGACTGCCCTCCGCCTGGGAGACAGCCTTGCCAGCCCCCAGGGTGTCCTCAAGGCTAGCCAACTAAAACACAGGATGCTGGTTAAATGTGATTTGCAGATAAACAATGAGTAATGTGGGACATATTTATACAAAAGTATTATTTGTTGTTTATGTGGAATTTGAATTCAACTAGGTGTCCTGGATTTTATCTGAACCTGTCTCCCCAGGGCCCCGCCTGTGCCCAAGGCTCCACCTGCCCCTAATCCTCCCGGGGCAGAGAGCCCTGAGTGGACAGAACCTTGTTCCCCCCTCCCCTGCCTGCAGGACGGCCAGCTGCCACCCTCGGCAAGAGCTTCTCCAGCTTTGAGGAGCCCCTGTGACCTCTGCTCCCAAACAGACATCTCACCTCTCCCGGGCCCTGGGGAGGGGCTGCCACCTTCCTCTGTGTGGCCAGGGGCAAGGAAGCAGCCCGTGTTTCCTGCCTGTTGATTCTAGGAGGAATGTTATGGACTTTGGCCCTGAGTGCTGCTGGGCTCCAGTCCTGGGTGCAGCAGCCAGCACGGGAGTGGGACTGGGACACGCCTGGGACCCCAGGTGCAGGGGCCGTCTGCTGGGTGGGAGGGTGTCTGGAGCCCTTGCTGACAAGTGGCCTCTCCCAGGCCTCGGGGCCCAGCCACCAGGAAAAGCGGCTGCCCCTCCCCCCTTAGCATGAAGCTGTCAAGTCTCTGTCTCTCGCCTGCATGTCTTACATTCCTGCAGGAGCCCCCATGCCCTTCCTGAACAGCCCCCCCGCTTCTGTACACCCCCATAAGCACATACCACCTCCTGCACCCCTCACTGGACACCTACCGCTCCTTATACACCCTGTAACCCCAGGGCACAACACCCCCCTTCACTCGCTCCTCCCCCCACCTGGCCCTCCCACCCCCTACCCAGCCCTGCCCCTCCCTGCCTCGGTGACCCCCACAGTAGTCAGCACACAGGACTTCAGTGACCCATCTACGAAAGGGCAGGGTTTGGAGGTCAGGGATGGGCCGGCCCTCCCAGGTCTGATAACACCAGGGCAGCGCTCAGACAGGCCAAGCGCGCCAGAGGGCGCAGGTTGGGAAGTTGGAGCTGCACATTCCGGCCGCTTGGCCGGGCTCTGGGGGTGAGATAAGCAGCTGGTTCAGGGAAGGTGTCTCAGCTCCCGCTGACAACAGTGAGCTGGACAAGAAGCCACAGGCCTGGCTGGGAGGAGGGGCTGCCAAGGCCTGTGGCCTGGCATGGCACCCTGGCCGAGGAGGGCAGAGGTGGGCAAGCCTGGCTCCCTCCTTCCCGGGCCCTGGCTGATTCCTGCTTACTATCTGTCATTCCCTGTGTCTGACCGTCGGCCGGGCCCTAAACCCTCTCTCTGTGCTCGAGCTCACTGGAGCCACACACATCCTTTGGGATCAGCCCTCCCTGCCCAGCTCTCAGCACATCACAGCTCCCTACTCAGCTACCTGCCCACCCTGGACAGTGAGGCCACTGCTCTGTGACTTTACCAGCTTAGGGAGAATCACAAGCATCCAGTGGACCATTTAAAGCGCACGACGTCTTCTGGCATAGTCCATTTTTTAAATTGTGGTAAATAAGTGACATTTCACCCATCTTAAGTGACCACTTCTGTGGTATGAATTACACTCATGACATGGTATTATTTCCAAAACGTTTCCATCACCCTCTGGACCCGTCAGGCGGTCATGCCCCGGCGGCCCTTCTCACCCCGGCAGCCTCTAAGCCTCTTCCGTCTTTCCGATTGATTATCTATCCTGGCGACCTCCTGGGGAGGCCATTTGGGGCCTGGCTTGCTTCTCTGGGTAATTTTTCCAGGTTCATCTGCTCCATCGTGGTCGATGGTTCTCTGCTGGGCGAGACCACTCACGCCCACTCCTCCGGCCGGTGGACATTGGGTAATTTCCACCTTTTTGGCTATTGTTCATCTTCATTTTTACTGCTCTTATCTCATGACTGGTCCCTGCTTGGTCAGGGTGGCCGTGGACTGGCCCAGCCCAGCCTCGGGTGGCTACAGAGAGAAGGCAGAGAAACTGTGGGCGGCGGGCAGCTTGTTCACCTGCTCGGGGCAGGTAGGAGTGAGGTGGAGGAATCACCCGTGGGTTGGTTCTGGCAGGACCCACAAGTGTTTGTTGGGTAACTGGGCAGAGACCCAGGCCACGGCCACCTCCCTGCCCCAGGTCTGGGCTCTTCTGCTGTCACCTTCTTACTTCCACTGGCTTCGACCTCCCTCGCCGACACTAGTCCCCTCGCTACTTTCGGGTTCAGGCATTCAGGTAATAGAGGCACCCACCTGGGGACTCAGCATCTGACACATCCAGGTGCTGCACCTTCAGACTGCTTGCTTTTGTGGGTGTGGTTGGGAGGCATTATGGCCCAAAGGTAAAGGTGACCCACAGGCTGACTGGAAGGTGACTCCTTTTCCCAGCAGGCGCCTCAAAAGCTGAGGTTAAGGATGAGGATCATGAGTGGGGGGCCTGTTGAGGTCTGGTCAGGGGTTCAGGCTGCCTGTCTCAAAGGACTCTTTGCAGAAAACTGGATATATCAGGCCCTCAGTGACTCACCTCCATTTCCGGCCTTAGTCATTCACCAGCCCCCCTCTGCTCTGCCCCTCCAATTACGCGCTTGGCCTCAGAACTCTGGCTGGGTCAGCGGAGTTGGCTCCTCCTGCCGAGTCTGTTTGTCCTGGAACACAGTGGGGGTGGACTGTCCTGGCCCCCACCTGCTGGCTGCTCAGGATAGAGAATTCAGAGTCTGTCTGGATGAGGGCT